CCCCCCCAGTGGCAGTCACATGGAACTTGCAAACTGGTCAAGTTACGTCCTCTTATTCACCTTGTGTTAAATTAATGAATTTACTCTTTTTGAATGAATTTACTGATTTTACTCTTTTTTTTTCTTTTTTTTCTTGTTTTTTTTTTTTTTTTTGATCACACTGCTTTAGTACAAAAATGTTGGTAATTCTAATGCTCTTATTTTTGATTAGAATGCATCATACCCGGTTGGGTGTTAACATACGGCGTAGCTGCAAAAGTTCAATAATTCAAGCTTAAACTGGATCTGAAAATTCTGCATATGCGTTTAGTTGGAACTCCATGCAGCTTTTGTACTACCCTACTTTGGAAATGAATGAAATGACTTCCAGTCTATCATTTGTTGGTTGTTTGTCAATTAAAAGATTTTTGAATACACTATTCCTTTCTAAAATAAGCTTGAAACAAATAATCAAATACTTGCAGGTTTTTAACTTAAAACACTGTTTGATTTAGTGATGATTACATGGTGGTTCTGAATCTACGAATCCGCCAGGTCTTTCTGATGGAACTCCTAAAGTTTCAGTATGTGCCGGTGCTTTGAACATACAACACCCCCCTCCCCTGCACTATAATTTGTTTAGATGTTGATTTATGAACTAATTGCCTATAATTGCTTCTTAGCACCACTATTAATCCATGATGTGTGGTTCCAGGAGCACATTAGTCTGGATTTGTATAATGAAGTAATTAGTTAAATTATAGAAGAAATAAAAGGAAGGAAAAAAGATGAGGAGGGGGCACATATTTTTTAGAAAAAGAGAAGCACTTAAATGACAAGAGAGACGATGCCAGTGTGTGTGAGACATATTTTGCTTGCGCGTGAGCTCATTTCCTGCTGCATTGCTCATCTCGCTGAATTAGTTCCTTCTGTACCTTTCAGCGCTCTCTCCTGTGTGTTTTCATTGCCATCCTCGCCCAGTCTATCCTGTCTCTCTGAGGTTGACGTACAGACTGCATTGTCTGCAGGCATTGTCATTGTTATTAGCCTTGTGGATTGCTTCAGGGGGTATGTGCAAGCTCAGGGGAGAAGGAGCCAGGCTGGATAATTAGTTTTTTCTCAATGCCAGACGAGCGCGCCGCCACTGTCGCGGACTGGAAACAGGAAGTGCAAAGATTGTCAAGGCAACAGCAGCCAGGCTGCATTCCAGCGCAGCCTCCCCTGCATTCCCATCAAAACACTGACAGGACAATGACAGCGGTCTCGATGGAGGTAACAGATTGCTGTCATTATGTTCTGTCAGGTGCTTTATTGCAGAAACGTCTTTATGAGAAGCAGTGGGAACTGAAGGTGTCGACGTGTGTGACTGTCTAACTGTAGTTTTAATAGCACACTGGAAGAGATAACAGACACTTTGAGGCAAGTATCATTGGTCATAATCAGCCATCAAAGGCACATTTAATATTGTGTTTCATACTGATGAACATGGCTTCATTAGTGTCCTGAACATCCATTACTCGGTCTGCTTGTGTCCTCTGGGTGGCGTATCTCTGATGATGTCACAACACTGAGAAGGGGACAGCGACGGGGTTGATACTCGGCCTTGGATTTGGTTCTGTTGCCATGGGATACATATATGCTAATAAGCAAGACGGCCACACTTATGAGTACTGTGCCAGCAAATCCAAGCAGGAGGCCGTAAAGTAGAGGCCATACTCTGTCTAGCAGATGGGGCTGATAAGGTGGTACTGGTTGCCTTTTCACCACCAAGTCCACGTCTTTCCAGGTGAACCCTTTGGCTGTCAAGCAATCAGAAACAATTGTTGGCTTGATTCATTTATTTTGGATAAGTTACAGTTGCTTACAGACAACTATATTTTATATGACTCTTAAGTTGACAGTTTAAGTAATTTAAGTGGTTGATGTTGTGTTTGCAAAGGTAGTTCACACACACACACACACACACACACATATATAGTAACAATAAAGACAGTAAAGACTTTCAGTTTCAATTACAAATAAATGTTGTTCTTTTGAACTTTCTATTCATCAAAGAATCCTGAAAAGAACTAAAAAGGTTTCCACAAAAATATGAAGCAGTACAACTGCTTTCATCATTGATAATTGTTAAAATGTTTCATGAGCACCAATTCAGTATATTAGAATGATTTCTGAAGGATCATGTGACACTGAAGACTGGATAATGAATGCTGAAAATTCAGCTTTGCATCATAGGAATAAATTCAATTTTTAAAATATATTAAAATAGAAAAAAATTGTTTTAAAGTGAAATAATATTTCACTTATTTATTTTATTGTATTTTTGATCAAATAAATGCAGCCTTGGTGAGCATTCAAATACATTTAAAAATCTTACCGACCCTTGTTGCATAATTTCTGCCCCAGTTCATAAACAGCATTTGCTTAAATTAAGAGGCCAAAATGGCTTGTTCTGATATCCACATCATCAGAAACCCAACAGTTCAGTAACAATACCTAATCATTGTTCAGAGACTAGGCTAGCTCTTGACTAACATTCACGACCTTTAGGGGGGAAAAAAACTGTATTATCTTACTTGAAACTGAAAACTGTATGATAGTCTCCCCTTTGAAATGTATTTGCATAATAGCATATTTTATGGTTTAGATATAGAGACCCAGGAATATCACTCAAAGTATTTAAAACACATGACCCTTTCTGAGGCATCTCACCCTGTTTTGCAGAGTAATGCAGCACCTCCTCATGGTCTTCATGATCTTCATGGTCTTCATGATCTTCTGATGCATGCTTCTCCAGGTGAGTGGCCATTTTGTTGACAAGTTCATGGTAGCCGTCCACATATCTCTGCATAGCAAGAGTTTTGTCCTGGTTGATGTTCTTACCCACCTCTATTAGATAAATAGCACATGCATTGCATTACTTCTAGTCTGGTTCTCTAGTTGTCTTTACTTAATATGGTTTTAACATTAATTCACTTCATTACTTGATTACAATTATGCTGGAGGCAGTTAAAGCAGCTGTTTATTCATGACATTCATTTCATAGTCGTACAAGACACAAGCGATTCTTGCAGCACATTAAGAAATCAAACACACAGTAATGGCCTCCATGAACGCCTGGAAATGAGATTAACTAAGTGTGCCGGGCCCAATAAATGTACCAAGTATAATAAAGCCAGAACAACTGAAGAAGACACACATGCCGGAACATAAGTATGCAATTTATCCAAGGTGCTGTCGCTGAGTGGCTACTCCTCATCAGAGCACATTTACAGGCCGGCAATTAAAGCTCTTGTAATTGCCGCATTGTGCGTTTGCCGTACGCATCAAGTTCTGTGTTTGCAGAGGAATCGTTTTTATTTTCTGCAACGCACTGCTTTGATTGACGGATGTTCTTGGGCTGTATGTTCTGGGCTGTCATTTTCCCCCTCTTCTTCTCTGTTTATCCTTTTCTCCCTTTAACGGAGATGACGAAAGGAACAGATGGCGTGTAGTGAATCTGATGTCAGCTCCAGCGAGCCTGCTGTCATATCGTTTGCACCTTCTCATATCCGATGCTATTCAGCTGTGGAGTCGCCTGAATGCTGGACCACAATCACTGCCAGAGGAGTGACAGGGTGCAAAGCGCATCCCATCAGAAATGTATAAAAATAACATTATACGCTGCTGAATTTCATCTTTTGGTGTGTAAGATAGATTGCTCTGAATTAGCTCGATGCTTATTGCATCAGTGGTGTGCAAAAAAAACAAAAGGAAAGGTGATGAAAAACTTTGCATCTTTGCAGAACTTCAGTTTTTCTTGCTGGCTGGCAATCTCCATTGTTGGTTAAAGAATGGCATGTTAGCTGTGGTTTTTAGGGGATCTTAAAGGTGAAGTATGTAGTTTTACTATATTAAAACACTTTCTTCTATCACAGTTTAGTTTGTAGATGGATCATTCTCAAAAAATATTGACATACCGATTTATGCGTGTTTTGAGTTCAGTTTCTTTGAAATTTGACATTTTTACAAACCTTAAAGAACCATCTGACTTTTGTTTTTAGGTTTTTAAAAATCTTAATTAGTAAAAAATCCAAATCTTTTTGACACAATGGTCAAGAATCTGTTTATATATATGTTTATGTTTATATATAAATGTGTATATGTATATATAATTGTAAAAATATATATATTTTTATCTTCAGTTTAAATGTAAAACTTTTGAATACCTTTGCATGTTTGAAACTATATTTAATCTTGAGATATTTATGAATTTGGGAAAGTTGATAGTATATGACTTTGGAACAACAATACAATTTGTGTATTTGGGTAAAAAAAATTAAACACTTATAAAACACTAAAACTACATTCAATAATTTTCATTATTTACAAGTGAATTTAGGCTTAATGACATTATAATTTTCTTCAGTATGAAGAATGGATGTTAATTTTAAGATTTGCTAAAGATTACAGGGTTTGTTAAATTATAAGCACTGTATTTATATTAACCTTAGTGAGTGTTAGATGCTGTCAAAGGTAATATGAATTATATAGAATAAATAAAAAATAGTTGAAATGAACATGCATGATTAAATATTCAGCATCTGAACAATTAAAACATAAATTTAAAATAAGACTATTAAAGAAATCTCTAATATTTGCCATTATGATAATATATTGTGCATCTCTACTCAATATTATACATATTGCAGGTTGGTTTGAGCGATGTGGTGCATTGCATGCATGTCAATGTTGTTGTGTGCGGCTGACCTATGGCAATGTCAGTCCTGCCGATCTGTTGCAGTGCACGAGACAGCCTGTCGTAGTATATCTGCTTGCCGTGAATCTGCAGCCAGTCCTTAAGCGCTGAGCGACAGGGGGCCTGCTGGTCTGACAATCACACACACACATGCACAATATCAAACGTGCTGCAGACAGGGAAAGCAGCCAGTAATAGAAGCAGCAGCTCTTCAGTTGTTCAGGCAATTAAACAATTCAATCATGTCCCACTGCCTCGATAGATTTAATTTCTGATGAAAAGGGATTATATCAACAATTCGTTTGGTTGAGATGTCTCTCGAGTGGACCTCTCGATGGCAGACTGATGTGTGCAGTGGAGATAAACAAATACATTTGGCTGTTCATGACCTCTTAATTTACTGCAGGATGTGTCACTTCACACATCGCACTGCTGGAATTCATTAGCATAAAACAAATAAGTATCAATTTATTAGAGCTGATTTAAACTATTTAAAGGAGCGGCTCTCGTGTCTATCATATTTACCTGTGTTTCTGCGTCTTCTTGAATGCAGTAACTGGTTCCTTTCTGCAGATAGTCGGTCTAAGTGTTGGAAGATGCTCTCCTCAGGTTGAGATATGGCAGAGATGAGCTCCTCACACTCATGAGCTGTCAGCAGCTCCACCAGGCGCTCCAGCTGGTAAGGTCCAATGTCCTCTGCCACTGTGGCAAAAGTAGAAAAATCAGACACATTTCAATGTTGTTTTTTCCCCTCCTAATGTTAGTCTTTTTGCACCAGAATGTTGTAATTTCGTTTAACATGACCATTCTTGAATATGTAAATCAGCTCTGTTTTGATTGACTAATCGTTTTGTGTGCGAAATGAGTAACCACACCTCTAGTTTTTGATATGGAAATGTGTGCAGTTATATTCTGATGTACACTTGGTTGTGAATATGAATGTTTTTTGAATGTTAGATGTATAGTTCGAAACTTCTTTTTTTTATGCTTTTGAAAAAGCCTCTTATGTATAGAAGCCTGTTTCTGCCACTGAATAAAAATAGATTTTAACATGGTAATGGATATGACAATGTTAATGTATTTGGTCTTGGCAGAATAGATCTGCTAGCTACGCTGCTAAATTGCTGCTGTTGGTTATTGTCGTTATTGCAGATTATTGCTGCAAAGCAAGTACAGGAACTTGCTACTGCCAGTACATACGCTGATACAGTGCAGTGAGTATTACTGCTGCTGCACAAATAGCATATATAGTAACCTGTAGCAGATCTAAACGGGTGGAGCTGGGGAAGGTGGAGGGTTTCAGAGGAACTGTGAAAGCATGCTGCGAAATGCTCTGGTGGATGCTAACCAGCCATTTAAATGTAAAGCAGCAAGCTCACTGGCTGCATATGAAACATTAACTAATCAGCTTGTGCCATGTAGTTTAACGCTGTGAATATCATCAGTTTGTGTTAGGGACCCATCAGCCTGTGCCATCTAGAGTTTCCATAGGCGGAAATCCCGGGGGGGTCGGGGGGGGAATGGGACAGGACCCCAGGACCCCCCCATCTGAGGGTTGTCCCCCCTAAAAATATGATTAAAAACCACGCTGTGTATTGCAGATAACAATGTTTTATACTTTAAATGTAAGTAGTAAAACAACACAAACGCAAACGGGGCAAAAATGCGTTCTAAGTTTAGAAACATTTTGAGTCTCCCCCTCTCTCTCCTCACAGCGCTTTGGTCCAAATGCCTGCTTTTCTCTTTTACAACACCTCAGTGTTGCCAATTGGGCTACTAACACTGTTGCCATGGGTTGTTATTCATGTCCGCGGGTTGAAGCGACCCCAATAACGTGACACGAGTCCGGTGAGAGAGAACAAAGCCAATAGTTGTGGAACTCCTGTAAGGCTGTCAAGGCTATTATATTCACTTAAACATCGGATGAAGTGATTATTTTCTCTTTAATACAGATGATGCCGATGTATTTTTCGATGGGTCCGCTATGTTAGCAATAATAACGTTACCTGCTTGACGGATAGTAATGTCTACAACGGACAACAGCTTGAAGTTGTCTAATTTGGCACTGTCTCCCTGCTACACTAATAGTAGTAAGGCTTTCCTCTGTGTATACTTATCCTTACAAGTACAATTTTAGCTGTATTATTTTAAGACATGTTTTTTTAAAGAAGTTATTTTAACTTGCCGTATTAATAACATGATACTTGTGACAATGTCCTCCATTGTTATAAATTATTTATTCAACAGATCAATTAACATAGGCATTGTTGAGATGCAGTACAATTAAAACATGTCCGGTTATAATAATTTGTCATGTAACCATCCCACCCCTCTCTCCAACACATATATGACATACAGTATATACACAATTGTGCCTGAACCCATAGATATGTAAAGATTCCCTATTCGACTGCTCCAGATACGTTGACGCGTCCGCCATTTTGGAATGGTCAACTTGACGTCATTCACCATAATTATCAATGCGTATTCAAACATATACGAGCATATAACTTGCTGTTGTAGACGCACACAGTCAATGCGCTCAAAGGTTCGCAGACCGTTCCAAAAATGGCGGATTGCTTACATATTGCGGCCCATAGAAACAGTTGCTAATGAGGCAGCTACGTATATATATTATATATATATATATATATATATATATATAAATAAATCTTTTTTGTTTACTTTTGCTGCTGAGTAAAATTTGTAGACTGGATATCTGCAATTATTTAAGCTTGTTTCTTGCTACACGTTCCTGTTTACTTCGAGCTGTTATATCAGATTTGAGTGAAATATAGTTTTTTTTGTTTTTTTAACAATGTCTGAGATCATGTGTGCATGTTTTATGCTTTAAAAAGCTGTTTGTATTTAATACGGATATTGAACTGTGGTGCCTGGCAAACCAAAACCAAAATGCGCAACACCGAACAAAGTCAAATCACAGCAAATTAAATGAAGTCATTGTGCTTCAAATGCTGCCTTGATGCTTTTCCAGCCTTTTAAAATGTCATGCATGGTTCACATCAATGCATAATAAGAACACACAGTTCTGTGCTTTAAGATGGTAAGTGTGTATTACACTGCCCTCTAAAACCCAAATGCATTTCATAAAGTCTTTTTTCTTCAATATTTTCTTTTTTTTCTTCTTCAATTTTCTGCAGACTCATTTTTTTTTTGGCCATCATGGTGGCTGGACATTATCCTCTACTGTTTGAGCTAAGGGAATGTAAAATAGTACAATTATATTTATACTATTTTTAACACTGTTAAAGAGATGGGCAGGTGTTATGTAAGGTATAATGTACAGTCAGCATGTCGTTATCACATAATAAACCTCTTCAGTGTGATATAACCCCTCTTCGCTTTGTGCCTGGGTTTAGTGTTATTGTGATAATGACCAGCCTAATGGACATTATCTCTTACATAACTCTGCCAATCACTTTAATAGCAAAGCTGTGCTTGAAAATGACCAGTGAGATGTATGTGATACCATTGTTTTATATGACGTTCCTTATTGCTTTGGCTGAACATGTATTTTCAGCACTGTTATCTCATTTTTGAGGCCTTAAATATAGGCCCTGATCAAGTCGAAACATGATTTAACAATCAAGAAGCAAGAGTGCTTTGTTGAGCGTAACCTTGAGGCGAAACTCTAACTTTGCATTTATTTTTCATTTTCGAGGAGCAACTCCACAAGGGGAATCAACTAAACTGCTCAAAAGAAAAGTTTCTTTGCATTGAATGTTGATGAACTCTGTAAAGCTGAGGGTGTCTCGCTCTGTACCTGCCTTGCTTTGAACTCGCTTCACCTCAGCTTGGCTTTGTGTGAAATCATTTCCAACATTAACATCGTCTCAACCTCACCATATGCATGCAAAGAGCAGGTCACATGCTTGGTGGACTAATTGAAATTCATCAACAGCAACATTCATATTCCAAATACCAAGGGAATGAGTAAGGGTTATGTTTTATTGTAGTGGTTTATTGTCAGGATTAAGCAATTCACACAAACACATTTTGTAAAGTGAGTTTATTAGTGTGGGTTGAGAGGATAAAGGCTGAACCAGCATACATAAATACATCTTGGCAGGCTTTGTGAATCTTGTATGTGTGGGTGTGTGTGTACTCAGCCCGCCTCGGCTCTCTCCACAACAGCAAATGAACAAACATGCCATGTTGTGTGGAGCTGGAGCGGTGCGCTAAAGGGCAGGGTGAGGTACGACGCTTTACATAGATGTTTAGATACACTGAACTTAAATACACAATAGGACAGCGGGGGATTAACATTCACAGTGTTTAGCATGCAACTGTCACAGCCTGCATTGATCCGTCCAAGCATGAAAGCACATGGCAAATTATACTACAACGCAAAACTAGCCATGCATGCCTTTGAAAACTTGTAATTGTGTTCTTGACATGCGTTTCACCTCGCATCTGTGCTGTTTTTCTGTTAAGCCCATGAAAACAACCTTTGCAGCTTGTGGAAAAAGTGCTCTTTCCATGTCTCCTACACTTCACACCACTGAAATCTGATTGGACAGCTACACAGACTCCGGTGGAATGAAGGATAGAATTCACAGAGCAGATAAAACCACTTTTCGGCTTCCGCAGCACGTCTGTACCTGTTTGAAGGATGACACAACATAAGCACACAGTCCATTTAAAAACACTGTACATTCAAATTTTGAACATTGAAATTTCAAATTCCATTTCTAACTGATACTATTTTGTTGTGCAGGTTCAAAATGTTCCATTGCGAAGGCTGTTGTTGTGTTCAGAGAGTGTGAGAGAATGTACTCTGTGTCTTGGCCTCTCCCTTCAGCGAGCCCAAACCTGTCTCTCCCTCCGTGCCTGTAGGTCATACAGGTAAGAGGCCTGTTTGCTTTGCCAACCACAGAAAACTCTGCATTTTGACTCCCAACACAGTGTAACTCAACCCTAAACCCCCACCCCCCCGCGAACATGCTTGTGTGTTTGAGAGGGGGATTTTCCACACGTTTCAGTACTAATCTGAACTGATTTATCTACTTGCATGCACACAATCAAAATTGAAGTTGTAATATATTTATATACTTTAAACAACTTTTTAGTTAGTCTTTTTAACATCATTATCGCCAAGTTGAATGTAGAAACACTTGAAAAGAAATCAACACAATATTTTAAAATATTTTCAGTTCAAGACAACTGCTGTTAAATGTTACCCACCTTGATTTTGACCACACACTCACCTTGCTCGTGGCGTTAGATCCAAATTGGTGCTAAAGAAACAAAAAGTCAGAAATTGTTTTCTGTTAAACCATGCAAAAATTAAAAGGCCTAAACTTTTAGTATGAAGGTCTTGAACGTTTTTAGTTGGAACTAATGTGCGTCCTGTCATGATGAGCAGCAGTGTGATCCTCTTTCTCAGGTCTGTCTTTATTTGCCTACCTGCTTCAGGTAGCGCTGCTACACCAGCAGGCAGCGACCAATGGGAATGAACCTTTTTTTGTAAACCGCACCCCTTCGTATCATAAATCTGAACCACACCTAGTGCCACAAACTCTGTAAGTAAAATGTGGATTTATAGTATAATTTAAGTTTGATGTTTTGGTTTGCGTACTGCACTCTGCTTGCTTATTTATCTCAAAATAATTTAAGTTCAATTTGACTGCTAAAGCATAGCTTGCATAGCATTCAGTGATAATTCTTATTGTATTATGGGTTTAGGTTTTTTATTGTTGTCCTTTGGCACATTTCTGCATATATATTCATTAATTTTTACTCTAAAATAAATTAAAGTCATGTTTCAGTATACATCCGTTCTTTCCCATGTTTTTAACAGTACCATTACCTGTGCTGACATGACATACAGCCGCAGACTTTAGTCTTTATAGCTGAAGCTTCCTTCACGTTGTATCACAAAAACAGCATGTTTTTTACAATGTGCGATGAGCTCAAGTCTGAACAGGAGCAGGAATGCCCCACCCCTCCTGTTGATTTCTATAGGCATTCGAAACAAGACAATGGGCATGTGGGTAGGAAGCAGCGGGGGTTTGACTGATTACAGATCTGATGGAATTCCTGAGGACTAATTCTCACAATCACCTGGGAATATTATTTCATGTGGCACATTTTGGGAGCCGTGTGTGTTTTGTAGGATTTTTTCTCGCTTGCCATGTGTAATCTTCTAAATTTGCAAGCTGATACAGACACTGATGTGGTACAGTTAATTAGGGCAGCTTCTGGAAATGGTGTAGTCAATAAAACACATGCCTATAATAGGGAAACTTTGCAAATTCCTGCAAAAGAGGATGTGGCACTCAATAGTTTGACCCAGTCCCCACTATATAGTGTTGTGTGATGCCTTTGAAGTATTGCAGAAGGTCAGTTTCCCGGTTTCTCTAAAGCTAGATTCATGTTCAGCGCTGACCACTTCTAAAAAGAAAATAAAAGCTCATTTCACTTCATTTGTTTTTTTGTAGA